TCAACACGTTACTCTGTAAACGTCGTCGAAAGACGATAGTCTTGCGTCTGGAGAGAGTGAACAAAACGTTTATTTGATGTTCTGCGCAAGAAAATTGGTGAATGGTATTCCGAAGGCGCTGCGTTAGAGTGCCTCGAGCGTGTAGCGAAGGCGAACAAGCGCATCTAGGCACGTTAGACACGAGCGCCATCTAGCAGTTATCTTCGAAAACGAAGGCGTGCAGCGGCGGAGAAAGATGGGCGCCAGTCTCGGAGGTGATAGGGTGTAGAACGCAAAGCGACGGGCAGGTGCCACCGCCGTGTCGTCGTAGCCCAGCATTGGAAACACATTCTTGAGCATCGCGTTGCACTGTCAGCGCAGCGCGATAAACGCTACAGTCCTTAGAGTTACTCGTGTGTGCCTCTTCTAGTATAAAGTCAGACATACAAAACATAGACGTGTTGTTATGGCGCCTCAGATATGCGCAATATTAGCTTTTTTAATTGACAATCACTTAACTATAAATGCTAAACCTTGAGCAATATTGGTGGGCGCTGCGGATGGGGTTGGCCGTTTGATGCGGTGTGAGGTATCGTTAGAAAAGACAAACAGACAAACGTACAGACAGACAGGCAGACAAACAGCCAGACAGACAGACAGACCAAAATTTTTTCGTTGAAGGTCCCCAAGATCGATCACTCGTTCAAATAAATATAAATTTATTTTACGTGCTCAGGAACATCTATAAGGTATTCGTGCGGGCGTGCGCAAAAATCCAAGTATAAAAATAAACAATGCAATACAAACAGTCTTCAGGAAAATAAATGAAACAAAAAGAGGATAATATGCGCAGACAAAAATATGCGCTAAATCGAAAGAATAAAAAGTCACTTTCAGAACAAGGGCGAAGCAATGAATGTGATAAGAACACATTGGAGTGTCGCACGAGGTCAGCTTAGGAGATTTAGTAACCAAATGTAGTGAACACGGTGAATTGTGCTTGAATTGGCAGTATTTCACTAACCACAATATCTAAACAGGTGTTGTTGTGAATAGCTAACTGGAAGAAGTCTTATAAGAAACGAAATCAAAGTTTGGCATCGAAAAACGTGACCAGTCACATGGTTTTCACGTCGAAGTACACTTTTTGTATTTTTTTTTTACTTCAGGTACCCAATTATCACTCGATAGTAGCTATTATATGTCCTGTTGAAGAACTGCACATCACAACGCAAAAATAATTCTGCTTTGGCATATTGCTTGTTGCGATATCTAAATACAGGCCGAAATCTATGATTCTAGGTACTGTGGTTGCTGAGATAAAGCAACATGAGTACGAAAACACACACTTTGATATAATCCCAGTTAAAGTTAAACATATGCGTTCTTTCAAAAGTACAACCAGATAATAGCAAATTGATGGGCCCGTTCGATATAGGCACCAGTTGGTTACTGATCATCATATCATTTTTTTGTTTCGTTTTTGTGTTGAAACGTCTTGCCTTCAGAACCTCCTTTGTCGCCTGCTGTGCAGGCCTGTCAGCAAAGTACTGTCGTCGCAAGTCACGGGAGCGTACGTTCATACACTGTTCAGTGCACAGGCGAAATTTCAAAGGATTTATGCACACTCGCGCGGGCTATATTATCATCATTACACGTTAGTACAGCAGTCTTTGGTGTCCCCGGAAAACGTTTTTTTTTAAGTGGCTCTTGCTCTTTTAATGGCCAAACAATAATAGTTTTGGCTCTTGCCAATAGAGTCCCTACTATGGCATGCCCGGCCATATACACATTTCTTGTCAGAAAGTTTGATGTCTGTGCTTTTTTTTCGTTTTTTTTTTTTTGCTTTCTGGGCCCATTTCTTTCTGAATGTGCCTAATGCACTAGAGCTTGCAAACTGCAGCCCCCTCCATGTGGCTATGATTGAAGCTTGAACTGCAATGAATACCTTGCCATGTTGAAATGGGAGTGCCGAAAGCCACCACCGAAGTTTTGAGATTCGTAAATTATAGAGCGAAAAAAAAAACTACTGAGACAAACAAACGACTTATTGTGGTTAAGAACAAGCCGCAGATTTTAGATAATTCAAAAACAAAAACAACTAATATTTCAATATTTTTGCTTGCCCCGTCCTCTTGAAGAGCTTGTTTCGCTGAAATGACGACGTCGGCATCGTTGCCTGTTTGCGAAAAATCATCTCTTCGTGACTGAAAAATCGAGCAAGACGCAAATAAAGTAGTATAAAAATCTGGGTATGAAAGGGGATCGAACCCGGGTCGTTTGCGTGGCAAGCGGGCGTTCTACTACACAGCCACGCCTCTTTTTTTTCCATAGTATTTATTAAAGTACTTGGGCAATAAAGACAAAATCAAGCGAACAAAAGTACAATCAAATCGCGAAAGTAAGCGTTCACGCGTTACTCATAAACACTAAATGGCTAACACAGCGCGAGTTCCTCACATGGAGAGTTCTTCACATCGTGTTATACAAACAAAAAAGGGGTGAGGTCAAACAGTTCTCTAAGACGGAGTACCAGTCCGGTCTAAAGTCTAGCTCGTCGTAAATGTTTTTTAGGTGGATAGCCATTTGAATGAAGTGTGCGCTTGAAGAGGTGGTGGGCTCTGCATTGCGGTCTTGCATTCGTGTCTTCCACAAGCTGTGCAAACCCATGAGGAAAAACATATCATATGGTACTTCATCAAGCGTTGCTGGTAGAAGATAACGTATTGTGTGAGAATCAATGACGAAACGTTTTTTCAGTGCTCGCTGAAGGACATCCCAAAATAGTATGGCATCTTTGCAGCTAACAAAGCAATGTTCAATAGTTTCCGGCACATCACATAGACGGCAGTTAACAGACGGAATGAAAATACCTTTTCTTTCTAACCATGTGTTTACCGCCAATGTTTGAGAGTGGAGTTTATAGAAGAATGTTTTTGAATTCGGTGGATTGTACATTTTGCGCACTCGCTTGAACACATCGTGACCTGGAAGATTGGAGTAGAGTGAACGGTACAATGGAGGTGGGAAGAGTGTACTCAGTAGGTCCTTAAACAGCACCTTGCGCGATACTGTGTACAGGTATTTTACAGAAAAGCGAGCTTTAAAGAACTGAACTGCGAGGTAAATTTCCTGCATGAATCTTCATCACATACACAAGCAGAGGCGTGGCTGTGGCAGGTTGATTCCTTACCACAGCCACGCCTCTGCTTGTGTATGTGATGAAACGAACTTCCTCTGCTTGTAAATGTGTTCAATGTAACTTTCATGTTTTACAAACATTCGCGTCCTGTATACATGCTTCAAAACACAACATGCAATAATGTCGTAATAATGCGTGCTGCAAGCTTACATTGCCATCGGGCGTCGGAACGTAAAATTATCATAATGACTTTTTCGTTTAAAGCTGGTCACCTACTACAAAAGGCACACACGATACTGCACCCTTAAGGAACGTAGTGGGTGCATAACAAGTCGGAAAAATTTTCCTACATTAACTGTAGTATGCACGAGGAACAGAATATCGCTATTGCGTTATTATTATTCATATTATTATTAATAATATTATTAGTAGTAGTAGTAGTAGTATTGGTAGTTGTAGTAGTAGTAGTAGCCCCATTAATAATAAAATTATACAGCTTAAGCAATTATTCTTCCAGTAGTGAAATAGCAATGGTTTACTATTTTGTATTTTATGATCTTGGTCCTTTCCTTCTTCTCTGTAACGTCTGCCAGGCCTGATCGCACAAGTCTCCAGAGACTTAGACAAGGCCGTTTCTGTGTACTTCTTATGAATATAAGAAATAAAGTAATAATTTACTTTACTTCTCATTCTAATAATTATATTAGTATTAGTATTACTAATAGAATAGTATCATTATTACTTTATTACTATCATCATCTATTATTATTTTTCTTATGTGATATCCATACAAAGGTCCAGTACTTACCCCTTGTAAAGGCACAACGCCTGCCCAGTTTTCGGAAGCAAGCGAGAGAGAGAAGGAGTGAAAATAAGAGCAATGAATGAGAAACGAAGAAGCGTGCTAGCGCGTGACACGTGTAAACGGCTTCTTTACAAAGCGTTTCTGATAAACTCTAAAACGAAATAACAATATGTCCGAAATGTGCTGACACACATTGAACGAGTTTATAGTGTTTATAGTGTTAACGTTGTGACAGAAAAGACCGCGAAATTCATTAAATAACTTCATTGATGTTAAGACACATATATTTAGTACTTATATTTGGTAATTAGTAAAGTGGAGACCATGAAGCGCAGCATGCGTTCGCCATAATTTTTCCGGCATGTTATTGGCAGTCCGACGGGCCCGCGATGCAGCAGAGACTTGGTCTATCTGTTCCGACGTGGGAGTCGCCTGCAACGTGTACAGTGCGTACCAAAAACCTAATAAAGTTCGTCGGTCCATTCATTCACAAAAAATTCATTATTCTATTCATTCAGTTATTTTCTTATCCTGTCTATGTTTCGACTTTCGTGTATAATGATTTTCTGAAGTTGCTTTTTATTCCCAATTAGAATTGTAGGGCTTCATTTTTGCTTTTCTAAACCAGACTTTTGTCTTTCATTCAAAGTCCAGCACCGCCACGTGCCTCAATGTTACATGCGATAGCGCCCGTACGATCCCATATTTTTTTTTCAAACTCATTTACATTTGCTCATCTAGTTAGGCTTCATAAGCATGCATGAGCCTATTGATAATTAAACGCCAGGTTTAAAAAAACGCCAATCTTAGCTGCTTTTTTTTTCTCTTCCACATTATTCGGGCTCTGCCTGAAGCTCTAATAAAAACAAAATTTGCTAACACCATGTCTTCTAGTGTAAAATAAGTTCACTTAACCTGTAAAATAAACACCATATCTGGTTATGTTAACACCTGTGTTCACTGACGAAACCGCACTTCACATTCAGCTAACGCAAACTGCAATTCACAAAAAATTTCTTGTACGAGCACCCACCTACACTGAATTCTTACATGCTGTTCTACTTTTCATTGTAGGAGACTGTATGCGAACGACGTTCTAGCCAACGCAAGGTAACCTCTTCTGCTTGGAGCTCCCTTCTTCGTCATTGTGAGTGCTTTTAACTTTTCGTTCTTTTTACGAGGGGCTTCCGTTTTGTTTTTTGTTTTTAATAGAGATTAAAATCATAATCTTGTTCCTGATTAACGCACTATTCTATTGGGGCCCCGCCATGGTGGTCTAGTGGCTAAGGTAATCGGCTAATGACGCGCAGGTGTGGGATAGAATCCCGGCTACGGCGGCTGTATTTTCGATGGAGGCGGAAATGTTGTAGGCCCGTGTGCTCAGATTTGGGGGCACGTTAAAGAACCCCAGGTGGTCGAAATTTCCGGAGCGCGTCTCTCATAATCATATGGTGGTTACGGGACGTTAAACCCCACAAGTCAATCACAAATCAATGTTGTTGTGAGTGGACGCAAGAGATTGTTTATTCTTATTATAAATCTAAAGTACTGACCCGAAGCTGCTAAATAATTTTGAACGCTAGAGCAGCTCCTGCAAGTGACGTCATGTTACGTCCTAACTGTAAACAATATTTCGTCTCCTCCGACACCGATATCTGGATAGTATGTGCGTGTTTTGCAATATCAGATCGCTGAAAGTTAGTCCAAGCAAACAACATACTACAGCGTTACACACACACTCTGCATTTACTTCACCTTCACGGCCATGCACGTCATCAATTTGATTTATTTATTTATTTTTCATTTATTGATTGATACTGTTCCTTCTTTACGCACGTTTGCTGCTGAAAATGATTGATTGATTGATTGATTGATTGATTGATTGATTGATTGATTGATTGATTGATTGATTGATTGATTGATTGATTGATTGATTGATTGATTGATTGAGTGAGTGAGTGAGTGAGTGAGTGAGTGATGCTCAAAAACAGTATATCACACTACTCTTCCGCCAATCACCCAAACAACTGACGTCACTAACATTCCATCAAAACGCCGTTATTCGGGCTCGGTTGAAAGCAGTTCTTGTTGACTCAGCGAAACTGCACATTGGTGCTCGATTTTAAACAAATTCTCGTTTGTTTTGTTTGTGCTTTATTTTGATCACAAGAATTATTGCTGCTGAGAAACGGTGCTGGAGAACAATTCATGCTCGAGGACTCCAGTGAGTTCTCGCAGGCGCTACTGGAATCGGCGCGCGGTGCCCCTAAACGCAAAGAGAATTGCGTTCGGGGCGTAGGGAGTTCTTTTGTAACGACCGTCGACCAAATATTTGGAGAAGATGCGCGCACCGTGGCATTCTAGCGATCGGTTATACAGCTACGGCAAACCGCGCTTCCGTTTTTCAGAGAAAAAAAAACAGAAAGAAATTGGAACTGGTGCTATAGCTAACTGCCACGCAACTGAAAAACTAAGCCGCAGTCTGTCGACCGTTCTTTATTCCCCGATTTAAGGTCGTTTCTTTCTTTCTTTCTTTCTTTCTTTCTTTCTTTCTTTCTTTCTTTCTTTCTCTCTTTCTTTCTTTCTTTCTTTCTTTCAATCTTTCTTTCCTTCTTTCTTTCTTTCTTTTTTCTTTCTTTGTTTCTTTCTTGGTAATTGGGAAATCGCTATGCGGGGCCTAGCCACAGTGACAAAATAATATCCCGATATATTTCGAAGCGCTACGCGTTCTCGCACAACAAAAACATGAAAACAACATTAACAACAACAAAAAATTAGAGGCAGTAAAAGAATGTGCGCCGAAGGACGGCCACAAGGGCTATGTTGTAAGCTACATCGCAAACGTCTGAGTGGCGGGAAACACGAAACCTGACGCATCCGCCTTTTCAGCCGTATTGTAAGCGCCCTCAAAAGTGCACCTTAAGCATTCGAAACTTCAAAACTACAATATCGTATTGTACAATATCAGTTGATTTTCAAAACTCTTTCTTCTTAATTCTATCTATCTATCTATCTATCTATCTATCTATCTATCTATCTATATATCTATCTATCTATCTATCTATCTATCTGTCTATCTATCTGTCTGTCTGTCTGTCTGTCTGTCTGTCTGTCTGTCTGTCTGTCTGTCTGTCTGTCTGTCGATCTATCTATTTATCTATTAGAATGATTATCTCTATAAATATTTATTATAATAATAATTATTCGGGTGATTTATTTTTACTCAAATAAATATACTATAAAAATAATAAATCATCTATTTAACGTGCCCTGCAACAATCATGATGTCCTAGTGCAGGCTCACGCAAAAATAAAACGATACAGATAAACAACATAATGCAGACACTCTTAAGAAAAAAACATATAGAGGAAGAAAACTCACAAAAAAGGAAATCGGCGCGAAATGGGAAGAATCAAAATACAATACGAGAATCATTGAATGGCAGTGAAAAATACAGGAGAATATATACAACCAGGTAGAAGGCTTCCTGAAAGACGAAAAGGGAAAAATCTGCAGGTTGTCAAAAACTATGTCAAGAGAGTGCAGAACTAAAATAAAAACACATTCGACGGTAAAAAATACATGAAGACTGTGAAGGCAAATATTATAGAGACTTTGTATACTGTGACCAGTAGAGTGTTGAAATAAGTAGGCAGGTACATGAAATGGTAGATTTTCTCTAGTCAACTTGCGTGGAATCCGAAAATTTACACAACTGTGAAGTGAAGGGCAGGACATCATACCGTGAACTGGTTTGTAAAGAAATAATAGGTCAGCGCGATTTAGTTTGCAGTGGAGTGATGGCAATAATAATAATAATAATAATAATAATAATAATAATAATAATAATAATAATAATCTGGGAGCGTTCCAACGAAATCCAGACTAAGAAAATGTATTGTAAATGCTCATGATTTTTTCTGGACTCACTCAATGACGTCACTGCCAGATTTAGCAACGTCATTCCAGATCACAGATGCACATTCATTTTGAGGTAGGCATATCACGGTGTACAATTCACGGCAGGCTGTAGGAGAACTGAACTCTCGAGAGATTCTACAAATGCAGCCGATAGAACGGAAGCCACGCGTGGCAGCACGTTTAGTGTGAGCAGAAAATTTTAGCATGCTATCAAAAAGAACACGAAAATCACCGAATTCATTAACGTTACATAAGGACGTGCTAGGGAGAGAGTATGAAAATGACACGATCGATGTTTTGCGAGATATACTCATGAATTTGATGTTTGAGGTATTCAGACAAAGGCCTTTGTTATCACACCATTCGGAGAAAGAGCATGAATCTTACTGCAGTAAGCGACAGTCGTTGACTGAATGAATTTCCTTGAATATCTTGTTGTCGTCTGCAAACAAGAAAAAATAATTATTACCAACAGCAAAAAAAACATTATTAGCATAAATTAAAAATAAGAGAGGGCCTAATACCAACTCTTGAGGGACACTACTAGTCACTTCATACAAAGAAGACTTTGGCCATTGACGGCAACATAACGTGATCTATTTAGCAGATGGCTGTGCAGGAGATTTACAACAGACAAGTTAACATCAATGTTTGCAAGTTTACCCAAAAACATTGAGTGGCTAACTACGTCAAAAGCCTAGCCCAAGTCACAGTAGACTACGTCAACTTGTCCTCTCTGAGAACAAGGCGCGGCTATTTGCGTCATGAAACTAGCGAGATAGTTGAGTGACCAGAGAGATTGATTAGGAATCAATGAATATTTCACGCTATAATAAAGTATGTTGTGAAAAGCCAGGTCCAAGATCTTTGTTGTGGCGCACAGTAGAGAAATCGGGTGATAATTAGAAACATCTGTCTTGCAGCCTGACTTGAATACTGGAAAGTACATGTAATTTTCTTCATGCTGGGAAATGTGGAATCGTTCAGACAGTTGTTAAATATTGTAGTCAGTACTGGGGAAATATGCTACCATAAGCCTTTAGTATGACGGAAGGGATGCCATCTAGCGCACACTATAAGAACGGTTTTAAGCGCTTAATGATGAGCTCTTCGTCCAGCGATAGAACACTAGATGTGCTAACTGCCTTGAACTGTTGTACTATCTGAGTCCTAGAGTCAGGAGCTTTATAAAAGGGATGAAAAAGGCGTGGCAAAACAGTCAGCGACGGCACGCACTTCAGCACCGGCCGAGTCCAGTAACCTGAAGGACTCCCCACTTATGCTAGACCATTTCCGTACACCCAAAACCTCAGCTGGCCCGTCAAAATGATAGTTTTCTAATAATGCAATATATGAACTGTGGTTCCATTTATATAGGCCTTTAGAGGAAGCTCAGAAAAAGCTGAACTCTTCCTTCCACTTCCTGAATGGAGAACATTCAGCCTTCTTGTGTGCGCGATCTTCATGCTTCAGTGCAATTATAAGTTCAGGGTCCCCAGTGGGAATTTTTACGATGTTTAGATACATATTGCGGTATAAACTTACGTATGCTGTTTAATACAAGCTCCGTAAATTGCTCAACTTGGTCATCAACATTTGGTTTGTCAGTAACCTGGGACCAATCAGCGGCTAAAAAGTAATGATAAAAAGCCGGTGTACTCCCATGTCTTGAGAGCAAATCTTGGAGATTGGTTAAATTGACTGCTCTAGCTCCTAGTTGTTGCGCATACAGGTAATCTTACAATAAATGGTGGGGGGGGGGGGGGAATTTATCAGGACTAACAAGGGCGATATTATGGCATGTTGATCGCTTGACATACTAAGGTCAAAAGCGTTGTCTTTGCAATTGACGACTGAGTTATGTCGCTCTATAAAATGAACGCCAAAAAGTGCAAGAGCAGCCTGCACTTTTCTCGATGACATGATTAAAACGAGAAAAGATAAGCAGGCTTTAATCAATTGGGCACATTGAAGTCACCAAGAGCAACAATTCTTTGCCCACTATGAGACGAAATCACATGTTCAATGCCAAAAAATAACATCATAAATCCAGACAGGGGAAATGCAAGGCGGTAAATAGAAACATCCAATAAACAATTTTTCTCAACGCACCAGGCTGATTTCTAACCAGACAGATTCATCAAAAGACGCAACGTTTTTCCGTCTTATTTCAGTGAACTGTCAATGGCAATCGGCACGCCACCGCCTTTCTGTTTGGTTGCACT